CAATGAAAAGATTTTGTCTTGTAAGCTGATTGGTTGTTGAAAGCTGCACAATTAACTCTAAAATGGGGGCTTTTATCAATTTATTATTGAGTAACAAATATATAATTTTTTTTCTCTTTAATTTCATAATTTATATAATTCTTTTTAAGTTATATTTATACAGTTGAGCCTCTGCTTTCTATAAACAGAAGTACAATAAGTAAAATCTTCCATTTGGCATCAATAGTGGAGATAGAAACATGTTTACATATGTATTCAATAGTATATAAAGTGCTGTTCAAATGTGTTTAGTGCTTTCTGCATGATAGCACTGAGTAGTAGCCTTTTGTTAACAATGGGCATAATCACTGTTAGAATTTTTATCACTAGAAGGTTGTGTGCCAGTAAATTTATCAATATGTTGAAGCAACAACATCTTGTGCATTTAAACTGTACATTTGCACAATAAGGCTGGATTTTTTTTTGTCTTATGACAAGGCAAGTCTGCATTTCGGTTAACATGTGGTGCAAATGGTAAGTTGAAATTCACAACTGTTGCATATCTTCTAGACATTCCTAATTTCATATCATCAGTCTCTTAGTTGTTCCCCAAATTAATGATATTGAAAGTTCAACAGTATTCATCAATATTAAAATTGCTGTTAGATCAAAATTAATACTGAAACTTCCTCCATAGACCAAATAAGTGGATAGAATGTTTGTGTGTGTGTGTGTGTGTGGGGGGGGTGTATCATATTAAATGGTGACTATTGAAAAATAAGCTTGTAATTTTGAAGAGAAATAAATTTACTTTATTTTGATAGTAGTTTCTTTATTCAATGTTATAAAATTGATTTTATTGAATGGGACAGCTTATTTGTCAATCAAGCTTTTATGTTTTATATGAGTAAATAGTGAAATAAAAGCCTAGTGTGATAATGAAGCAGTTTGTGAAATTACATGGCAGGATTATTTTATGAAGTTTAAAAAAGGAAATTTTTAACTTTTCTTTGAGAAGAGTTCAAGATTTGAAAATTGAAAGAATTTTTGAAGCAAGGTATAGTTCAAACAAACAAAATTAAAAATAACTCCATCAGTTTGACTAAACAGAAAATACCTTTTTTCTAGGCAATGAAGTTGATTGGGGATTTTGCTGCATGGCAGTAAGCATCCTCATCCTGGAGTTGGAATGTGAGACTTCCATGTGTGTTGTATTATCCAATCTTATTACTTGTTTCAATCCATGTAGCATTTTCCTTGTCAGTGATTCCATTAAAGTAATTTTTGATCAAGACAGTCACTGATGATGAAAAATGGATTCATTGCAAAAATCCAAAATAAAGAAAGTCATAGTTAGAACCAGAATAGCTTTCACCATCTCAAACTTAAATAGAATTTATTCAGGAAAAAGGCACTTCTATGGTTTTTTGGATTCAAATGGAATTCCTTATGATGAAATAATGGCACCTGAAGAGAAATTTTTACTATGAGCAATTGGCTCTTTTCACTGATACAATCAGACAAAAATACTTGAAGTAGAGGCAAGGAAACCAATCAGCAAATTTATGAGGGTGTGCTGAAAAGTTCATAGGCTGATTATGAAAGAGTGATGCTAAGAGACTTCAAAAGTAACTAATAGTGACTAGTGACTTGAAAATGTATACACAGAAAAAGGGTTTCACTCCAAATGACATTTATGCTGACATGGTTGCTACATCAATAGTGCAAAAGTGGGCAGCTGAATTAAGGAGGAAAAGGTAGTCTTGAAAATGACACAAGGTATAGACATCTTGCAACTGCCACCATGAAGGAAAACATTGATCGTGTTCATCACATGGTGATGGATGATAGGCAATTGACTATAAATCAAATAGCCAATGCTATTAGCATATCCCAAGAGAAAGTTAAAAATATTCTGCACAATTCTTAGCATGACGGAAGTTTCTGCTTGGTTGGTGCCACATCTGACAGAATAGGCTAATCACATCACAGGAGAATCTGTATTGGATGATGCAAGAGGCATTGTATTTGTTGACTATACTCGAAAGGGTCACACCATTAATGGAGAGTATTATGCCAACTTGCTGAGGTAGCTACGAAAGGCTATCAAGACCAGATGCCCATGAAAACTGGCGAAAGGGATCTTGTTTCTTCAGGAGAATGCTCCAGCACACAAGTCCTTGGTTTCAATGTCAGCTGTGCATGACTGTGGCTTTGAACTGTTTGATTACCCTCTCTATTCTCTACTTATTTGACTATCATTTATTCCCCAACATGAAAAAAACACTTGGCTGGGAATCAGTATTATAGTGATAGTGTCATATCTACTGTTGATAACTTTTTTGACCAACTGGATGGACAGTCTTCTTTGAACAGAAACTTTTTTTAAATGACAAGTGACCCTTTATAAAGCCTGGGGGCTAACTTGAGGTAGAGGATTATATTACAAAAACACTTGCGTGTATAGGTGAGTGAGATAATGATTAATTCTAGCCTTGAATAGGTTAGGATTGTTGTGATTAGGGAAACATCTTGTTGGGAGTCAATTCTGCAGGGCACTATTTCATGGGAAGAAGGCTGCTAAAGTGGAACTTACTTCTCATCAATGGAATATGAAGGGAATGTGGGTGGTTTGCTACTATGTAAGTAGCATGGTATGTTCTTGCTGTGAAGGTTTGCCTTGGTGGGATCAGGGAATGTAGTTCATTTGAGCACTTTCCATGAAAGTAGCAGTAGAGCAGCAAGAGGCTTGCCACATCGCCTGTGGGAGAGGGGTTGAAGGGTAGAGAATAATTTGTCACCAACAAGGGCTTAGAGATGCTTTTGAACTCTATCAAGGCTGGAGAGTGAGGGCTTGGCGGCTCCCTTCCAGATATGAGAACAGTACTCCATTTTTGGCCTGAGCTGGCTCTTGTAAAGGTAGAAGATAGCAGGACTAGTCAGGTACTCACTGGAGCAGTACAGGGATCCAATCATTTTACCTGCATCCTTAGCAATGGATTGTATGTACAAGTTCTGCTTTAAGTCGGGTTTAAGGCCCAACGGTCTTTCAAGGCATGGTGCTTCCCTGAGAGGAACTCCGATCTTGATTGGTTGTAGTTCAGGATCAGATCAGTGCTGATGGAATGTAACCAGCTTGATCCTTGAGGCATTGAATGTAACTAGCCAGTTTTCACTCCATTTGGTACTTTGTACAATATCAGAAGAGAGATCAGTAGTCAATCTCTGGTCATTGAGAGTTTTAGAGGTATACCCATATATAGTCCTATCTTATTGATAATGGCCTCAAAAAGCATACTGAGGGGACTGATGGGTCTGTACTGGGAGTGGGAAGATCACACACACACACACACACACTTTCTTGAAAACTGGGCATACACTTAACACTTTCTTGGGAAGGATTTCTTCTTCAAGCAGTGGTTGAATAACTTTGCTAGGATTGGAGATATTGGGTTGATATTCTTAAGGACAATCACTGGAATTTTGTCTGGGCCAGTAGCTTTCTTAGGGTCAAGGCCTTTGATATAAGTCTAGAATCTTCTCCAGCTGTTATGGTAATATTACTGAGATTGTGCTCAGTGAGACTAGGGAACTTAGGGAAAGCTTGGACTTTTGTCTAGGAGTTCTTGCAATTTCTTTTCTGTGTCTGCCTTCAGCATGGTGTCATTTGTGCATATATTAAGATTATCCCATCATAATAAGACTTCTTGTTCTCTTAGGATTTCCTTCTTAAATAAATCTGAGAAGATGCATCCTTGTCTTATATCCCTTTGTTTTGACTACTGAAACCTTATTACTCTACTGATATGATATTGGAAAACAAAACTAGTCAGTAAAAAGTTTTGTGCACATTTTGAGTAAATAGTGAATATTACTAAAAATTACTTTCTAAAATAAAAAGAAATGTAACATCTATCAACATAGAAATTGCACCTTGATTTAAGATGTGATGTAAGCACTTTTTTCTTTTCTCAATTAAAAAGGAAACTCATGAATAGCTATAGATAAAACACTGAATTAAAACCAATTAAATTTTTGGTAATAAGAAACTAATTCAAAAAAATAATTTAAGATAATAAAATTCTTTCTTTTTTATTAAAAGATGATACTTGAAAGCCACTACTTAAAAATGAACAAAAATAAAGAAAAAAAGTTCTGTTAAATTGCAAAATCATACTTTTATGAAGGAAAATGTTTAAAATTACATCAATTAAATGGGTTATAGCATTGTTGAAAGTAATCATCTTATAAATGTTAGGGTATATTTTGATGCGGTGAGTGCAGGGTATCAAGTTTGATTATATAGTCTTTGTATTCTACTTCTGATGATGAGGTGTGTTTTGGTGCAGTGTATGTGGTTATTCATATAATGCTCCTACTAAGTCTGGTCTTTTAAGTGAATGCTTAGTAGTGTTATGTGTAAATCAATATAATTCTCTATTTTAATGTTTCAACCTGAACATATTAGCAAGAGATATGCAATTTCATTAAATTGCACAAACAGAATTAATCCTTGTGTACTAACTGTTTTAGTCTTACCTCTTGATTTTTCCCCTTATTTAATTCATTGTACATAACAGATCTTGATATTTAGCAGATAAGTGGGTAAGGATTAAGTCTTTACTCATAAAACTCTGAAAGCTTTTTATCTTGTTAGGTAGATATGATTATTTCATTTTTATTTTGTCATTAAAAAGGTGTAGCTATTTAATTTTGAAATCATTTTTATTCTTTTCTATCTTTCACTTGGAACTTTTGAAAATATAGATTAGGGCTTATCTAAGTATTTGAAAATTTTACTGTTTTAATTATTTAAAATAGTTTTGGAATAAAATATTGAGCATTTAAAATGTCTTTTTCTTTGCTGTAATGACATTAAGAATTACTTTTTTCAAAACAGTGAAATATTACTGTTATGGAACATTTCAAAATAGATAAGTCAGAAAGACGTATTTTATTATAAAATTAAACAAGTTTTGTTCTTTGATAGGAAAACTTTAAGAATTGAAAGTTTTTCCAAAATGCTTATTTATCAGTTTGTTTTAGATGCCACTACCATACAATACTCTCTTTCTCTATCTATCAATGCCATGCCCGTACAATACTCTCTATGGCTGCCACGCCCGTGCAACACTGTCTATCTATGGCTGCCACTCCCGTGCAACACTATCTATCTATGGCTGCCACTCCCGTGCAACACTGTCTATCTATGGCTGCCACTCCCGTGCAACACTGTCTATCTATGGCTGCCACTCCCATTTTTGCACTGTCTATCTATGGCTGCCACTCCCGTGCAACACTGTCTATCTATGGCTGCCACTCCCGTGCAACACTGTCTATCTATGCTGCCACTCCCCGCATTTAACACTGTCTATCTATGGCTGCCACTCCCCGGCAACACTGTCTATCTATGGCTGCCACTCCCGTGCAACACACTGTCTATCTATGGCTGCCACTCCCGTGCAACACTGTCTATCTATGGCTGCCACTCCCTGCAACACTGTCTATCTATGGCTGCCACTCCCGTCTATCTGTCTATCTATGGCTGCCACTCCGTGCACAACACTGTCTATCTATGGCTGCCACTCCCGTGCAACACTGTCTATCTATGGCTGCCACTCCCGCAACACTGTCTATCTATGCAACACTGTCTATCTATGGCTGCCACTCCCGTGCAACACTGTCTATCTATGGCTGCCACTCCCGTGCAACACTGTCTATCTATGGCTGCCACTCCCGTGCAACACTGTCTATCTATGGCTGCCACTCCCATGCAACACTGTCTATCTATGGCTGCCACTCCCGTGCAACACTGTCTATCTATGGCTGCCACTCCCGTGCAACACTGTCTATCTATGGCTGCCACTCCCGTGCAACACTGTCTATCTATGGCTGCCACTCCCGTGCAACACTGTCTATCTATGGCTGCCACTCCCGTGCAACACTGTCTATCTATGGCTGCCACTCCCGTGCAACACTGTCTATCTATATATTACTAGCAGTAGAGCCCGGCGTTGCCCGGGAATATAACAGTAAGAGATAGTAAGTATCGACCATCATAAAGACTAAAAAATAAAATTGACAAAGATTATTGTTTAAGGTTGACGGACACGCATGTCTTAATTAGTTTTTTTTTTTTTTTTTACGAATTGGTCAAACTCAAACAAAAACATTGTTTACAATCGTTATGAGTCTATCGATTGGTGAATAGAATTTTATTATAAACAATTGTCTTGTAAATGGAATTTTAAAGCATTCTGAATGTAAATAAAAGAAAAAAAGTGTGCAAGACAATAAAAATACTACCTGCCGAAAAAAAAAAGTGGATGTTTGTTTTATCAGCTGAAAAATGTAAGAAATCCGATCCCATATATAAAAAGGAACACACACACACACACACACACACACACACACACACACACACACACACACAACCTGGGTTTTTTAACCTAAGTCACTCCATGGAATCGCTAAAACATAGAGCATAGTCTGATGAAAAAGACGCTAAAGTTTATGAAAACAAAATTTTATCGTCAAAATGCTTGTGTTTTTTATGAAGAGGATAGACTAAATTTTTTTAATTATTTTAAAAATTTTTCCATCTTTTTAGAATATTCTAAATTTTGATTTAAAAAACCTTGTTTCTCTTTTGTCAACAAGGGGTAGTAAATAACATAGATAATTTTAAGCGCGTTTTTGTATTTACACACATTAATTTGGAAAATCTTGAAAATAAAAATAATTGTCAGATGTTAATGAAACTTTCAGAAACTATTCACAGATGATCGAAATTATTATAAATATGTTTTTTTTTTTTATTATTAAAGTCATGGCAGAAATATTTTTTTTTATATTTATTAACACCCCATAACTAATTTTATGAAAAACTCTAGAAATTGAGACCATCGGTTTTAGTGATTACAATAATTAAAAGCACAAGGCTTTGAAGAATGCAAATCATGTTTTTTTTTTTTTTTTTTTGGCCAATGTACCTGAAAATCAGCTGTGAATTGTAACATACAAAACTCAATAAAACAAATATATTATTTAGTTTCAAATGCTTTTATTTGTTTTAATTTGTTTTTATGAATATGGACAATATTTTCTGAAAGCAAAAATTTTTTCAATGAAAATTGAATTTTTAATACAATTATTTCTTATTTCTTTAATTTTAAAAAGATTTTTAAAAAATGTTTAAATTGAATTTTAAAAAATATTTTAACATTAGTTAAATGCAACATCAACCTTTCAAAATGTCCGTGTGAGATTGTCATTGTCTAGTGCTTTGAAAATTGTATAATTTGGACCAATCAGATTAGCCATGGTAATTAAGAAATGTAATTTTTGTGTTTATAGTCGGACAGTAATTATCAAGTACGGAAGACCAACCAGAATACAATTT